CGCAGCTGACACCCCCCCCCACCCCCGCCCCACCGCGGATGCGAGTTGTATGGATCTTTTGCAAAATTAATGGATTTTTAGGGCTCTTTATACAGGTAAACGTCCAAAGAGGTTGAAATGTATGTGAACCGGACCGAACTTCAGTCAAACAAGACCCAACACTTTTTTTCCCTGATTTAAACTAGCGATCGTGAGCAGCTTTATGCTTTTTTTTTTTTTTCTGTCAGGATTTCGGAGCGCTCCACCTCCTCTGTCCGAGGCTGGTGTGGGGTGAAAATCCTCCACCTCAGACGTTCAGAGATGTAACTATGTGCGATACACTTTAACCATAACGCAAAGTTAAGTAAAATAATTAAACTTAAAAATCTATAATCAATTACTGTGGTTTCACAGTTAAAGTTCAAGCAGTGATCAAAGCACAATAAAACTGTGTTCTTTTTGTGTTTTCTTTTTTTATACATTGATAAAATTATGGATAAAAGAAGATTATTCTGTTTATTTTCTGATTAATAGGATGAAAGTGTCTCTTTACTCTTTAAGAAAACCTGTTATGACTTTAACTCAAACAGAGTTCTGTCTCTTTGAAGGAGGCCTTCTGAGACCAAGGTCAGTGACAGGTGGAACGGTTTATTCCACCTCAAGGTGACTTTCCTCTAAACCAGAGGAGCCCAAAGTGGGGCCCGCGGGCCAAATTTGGCCCACCAAGCCATTTGATTTGGCCCACCATCAGTTGTCAAAGTTACAAGGTTGTAACCTGTTATCCTATAGGTAGAAACACAGCATTTCCATTGGTCAAATGACTATAAAAGGGCTGTAGTGAAGGTAGTTTTCACTCATGGTGCTGACATATCTTTGATTTATTAGGATTAAACAAGAAACATGAAACAACAAGAAATATTTAGATCAGATTTAACCTCACATGTAGATTTGCACACTTTAAAAGGACACCAAAACTCATATTTTATCAATTTATGATATGTCCCATAAGCCTTTGCTACTTGTGTGTATGGCAGACATTCTCCAAGTGCTCAGACTAAAACAAAAGAGGGCCATTGCACAGCTTCATGGTTAAAAATAAAGGACTTTACTTTTAAAAAGTATTTGTATTTCATGTATTATATAACAGCATTTGGCCCGGAGCCATGGATAGATTTTCATTTTTGCCCCCTCGGGGAAAATGTTTGGGCACCCCTGCTCTAAACTTTAATGTAGAGGCTTCCATCTTGTTCCAGTCCAGAAAACACTGCTTGTTGTCACTGGCTTCCTCTCTGCTAAACCTGATGTTGTTGTCCACCGAACTGATGTGTCTAARGAAAGTGTTCTGAAAGTCTTAAGGTAGGGGTGTTGTAACCTAAAAAAAAACATATAAAATTCAGCAAAACAATAACTACTAGCCTCCAAGTTGGCACAGTAGCAATACTCCATTTACATGCAGGTGTGTCTCTTTGGCATCACGAAACAGAGCCTTTTTTAATGGACATTTGTAACGGTTTATCTGAATAACTCTTAATCTCAATCTGATCATTTATATTCATGGTACTTTTTAAAATGAAAAGACACTTAAGACAATTAAAAGACACTTTTAATAAAAACATAAATACGAGATACGTTTATACATCTATGAGAGGGAAACGTATCTCATAGATGACCAGAGTTGCATAAGCCTGCTTTGGGCTCAGAGATTAAGATGATAAATGTTGCAACGATGCAAACATGTTTCAAAGGATGTGGTTACATGTTGAGTTTATATAGATTGATTTGGATAATTATGTTTATCAGCAAGAAAGCTGGCTTTAAAAGGCCCACTTTACCACTTCTGTGAGTACAAGCTAGAATCCCTGGCATTATGAACGGTCTGGGTAAACTCCTGGTTTTCCACTTTCTGCTGTGTCTCGGACAAATTGGTAAGAAAACCAAGTTTATGTCTCAGTCTCAAACTTTAAAATGTGTCYCTTACGTTTGTTTTCATTTGTCTTTGACAGTCCATGGGTTTAAGATCATACATGGAAAAGAAGTTCCAAAGAACTCAATGCAGTACATGGTCTCAATACAAGACAAATATGGTTTTCATCTGTGTGGAGGATTCCTCATCCGGGAGGARTTTGTGGTCACTGCTGCGCACTGTGACGAACTGTGAGTTTCCAGTCTACATTTCTTTCTGTCTACAGTTTTGATTGATAAACATGCCAATAATCTTTCAATCATCGATTCTTCAGAGAATCACCGATACATCAAATCTTTCTGGGAAGCCACAATCTCAGGAAGAATGGAATATTAAAAACATTTGACTATAAATGCAAGCCCCCAACTTACGAGAACCTTGGACTTGGTGATGACATAATGCTTCTTAAAGTAAGTATATATTTAGCACCCATGTGTGATAACTTTAATGAACACATAATTATTGTAACTCAACTAAGTTTGCAGATGTGCTATAATATGGTATGTAGGTGGCTGAGAGTTATTCTTAACACATATAATCCAAATACTAATTTATTGCATGAGATACTGTATGTATTCAAAACTTTGCTATCAACTATCGGAGTCACACAACTATAGACGGAACAAAACGACGTTATGTGTCAGCATAAGGTATAAGAAAGGCTCAACAACATATTTTTGGCACAAACGGAACTCCATAAATCTCATGAACCACTTGATGGATTTTGATGAAACTTACAGATTTTCGTTGTAATTAAAACTAACACAGAAAATAACTATAAGTCTGTCAATTTCTTTTACATCCATCCATCCATCCATCCATCCATCCATCCATCCATCCATCCATCCATCCATCCATCCATACATCCATCTATCCATACATCCATTTTCTGTTCACGCCGCTTCCTTTTCAGGGTTGCGTGGGTCACTGGTGCCCATATCCAGCAGTCACAGAGCGAGGGGCGGGGTACACCCTGGACAGGTCTCCAGTCCATCACAGGGCCACACATAGAGACAAACGACACAAACAACCATTCACTCTCTCATTCACACCTAGGGACAATTTAGAGTTATCAATTAACCTAACAGTCATGTTTTTGGTCTGTGGGAGGAAGCCGGAGTACCCGGAGAGAACCCACGCAATTTCTTTTACATGTTGAACCAAAAATAATTCCATATATGCTTCAATCCTTTTGCAGTAAATTGAGTAAAAAGACATAAATAACTGTTTTATTTTAATTCTACCTCATGTTTGTCTTCAGTTGTCTGAGAGAGTGGATCAAAACGACAGAATAAAAACAGTTCCACTTCCAACATCTGTGGTGAACCTGAAAGAAAGCGAACAGTGCTCTGTGGCTGGATGGGGGAAAATTTCAACCCTCTCGTCTACTATTAACGATCTAAGAGTGGTGAATGTGTCCATCATTGAACCAGAAGTCTGCAAAGAGGAGTGGTTGAACCTTCCTTCCAAAGTGATTTGTGCTGGTGGATATAAAACAAACAAGGGGTTCTGTCAGGTATGTTTCTGTTAGTGTATAAGTGGTGCAAACAGCATGTGCCAAATGTCAAATAAACTAAAAATTCCTCCTCTCCACAGGGTGATTCTGGTGGGCCTCTCGTGTGCCGAGGGAAACCTGTTGGTGTTGTGTCTTTCAACAATCGTGGAATTTGCAACTACCCAAATAGACCCAATGTTTACACAGATCTTTCAAAATTCCTACCATGGATCAACAAGATTCTGAGCGCGAACAAGTGTGAAACGTAAACTTGTTGCCCTGCATTTTGCAACACTGTATCAGGCACAGGAGGGGGAACGGCTCGTCCTATTTCAGCCACTGTGTCAGCTTTTGCTCTTAATCTGAATAAAACTTGAAGCATTCAAACCCTTGCGGCTCATTTCTTTGCCTGAAAACAAGAAACACAAATGCAAACAATAAAAACAAAATGTAGTCAAATCAGATGAGTGTTCCAGTTTCTGTATCTTTGCAGATATTATCATGGCTCCATGTTTGGATCAGTGGTGTTTAATCCTGGTCCATGTAGGCTGCTATGCTGCACGTTTTAGGTTTTTTTTTTCCTGCTCTTCAGCGAGTCTTGAAGTTCTGCTGAAGTCTTTTAGTCAATCATTCCAATCAGGTGTGTCAAAGCAGAGGGACATCTAACACGTAGAGGACAGTTGTCTTTGAGTACCAGGACAGGGCATCACTGCTTCAGAGTGTGAGAACAACTGCTGTAGGTCCACAGGTGTCAAAAGTTTTCACATTCATAACTAGAAGTATAGATACTAGGGTTTAAACATACTTTTTTGTAAGTAGAAGTATCAATTCAAGTTTTTTACTCAAGTAGAAGTATAAAAAGTAATGGTTTTAAAACTACTTTAAGTATAAAAGTTAAAGTACTGAACACTTACAAAAAGCCATTAAGGATAAAAGCTTAGGCTGCGCCACAGGGTACTATAGCATACACCCCAAGTCAGTAATGAGTATAATGTAGGGCTGTCAAATGATTAATATTTTTAATCTGATTAATCCCAAATTAGCTGTGAATTAATCATGATCAATCTTAAATTTAATATACATTTCTATTGCATATTGATAAAATAAATTACTTGCGTTATTAATTAGTTTTTAATGTTTTTATTTAGAAAACAAAACTGATGCTTGTACATGATTTTTTTGAATATAAAACAGGACCTAAAAATGCTCCAAACATATTAGAGTCAGTTAAATTTTGTGCAGAATAATGAGGTTAAATCAAGAATTCAAGGATTTTCATTTCAAATGAGAACTACATGAAGAATGAAAGACAGATACAAAGGTCACAGATGTCAGCAAAACAAAAGTAAATAAAATAAAATAAGCCATAAGAAGACAAAAAAAACTGTACATAATGTGTTACACATGAAGTGTTTTTTAATTTAACCTTTATTTATCCAGGTAAACTGTTCGAGAACTACTTCTCATTTACAAACATGACCTGGCATGCACAGAGTGCATTGCAATAAACAAACCTACATATTCAGCCATAGTAAAGTGATTGTAAATTTTAATCTCGATTAAAATTTTTAGTCTATGCCCAGCACTAAGATTAATCAGAGTTAACTCGATTAATTTCACAGCCCTGGTATAATGTTAAATTACAATGTTAATGTTGAAAAATTTGGAATTAAAGGCACAGTGTGTACGATTTGTTGTTTTCAGCGACATCTAGTGGTTGAGTGGTTGAATCATCCTCCC